ATAATAGTAATTATTAAAAATCATAATAATAACAACAATAATATCAATAATTCAGTGACAATAAAGCAAAATGAAGCGTGATACTAATAAAAAGACGCTGTTCGTCATATGCAATATTACACAAAATAATAATACTGCTACTGCAGCAGACCCATTCACAACAACAACATCAACAATAACATCAGCAACAACTGCAACGGCTATAGTGATAACAGCAGCAACAACATTTGAAACAGCAACAAGATTAGAAACAACAACAACAATAATAGTAGAAAAGACAACATTAGAAACAACAACAACAATAATTGTAGAAACGACAACAACATTAGAAACAACAACAACAACAATAATTGTAGAAACGACAACAACATTAGAAACAACAACAACAACAATAATTGTAGAAACGACAACAACATTAGAAACAACAACAACAACAATAATTGTAGAAACGACAACAACATTAGAAACAACATCAACATTAGAAACAAAAAAAGGAGGAGAGACCAGGACGATAGATGTTCGATAGGAAAGAAGGAGCAAACCACACCAGAGCACCCGCCAACCACCCACTCCGGTTGCCTAACCACTAGCAGCAACGAGACTAGCAACAATTCAAAAACAGCACCCCCCCCCCTGCTAAAACCCCACAACAAACAAACAAAACAATAATTAGCTATTTATGCTTACAAACGAGCAATATAATTGTGAGGTAGCGTGATAGAATCAGGCTCTCGTCAATTTTTGGGCATGTAGATTTATTGGTATCATCTTAAAGCTTGTTCACTTGTATTTATTTGGTTGAAAAAATATCCTTTTGTCTTGAATATAAGTCGAGATATTTGTGAATGAAGGAGGTGGGGGTCATCTGTTTTCCAGTTGTAAAATTCGTGAGAAAATGGCCGCCAAAGATGAGTTATTTCCTTAGTCCGTGGTAACTGAAAATTTACTTATTTTGTGCCTTTAATCAACGTTTTTCAGAAAAATCCACACAGAAATGAGTTCTTTAATGGGCATGAAAGGTGCTTAGCCAGAAAACAAAATTTTGATAAAATTCACAAACCTGCGAAAAAGTGCAAGTTTCTTCACTTTGATTATTTTGACGAGAGCCTGATTCCACCACGCTGCCTCACAATTATATTCGTGCTCAGAGCCAGCATTGTGCTCATATACAGGGAGTCAAAAAGTAATGCAAGTTGTTCGTTATTTTGCACAACTTAGCATCTAATTATATGACATTCAGCTCACAGGTACTTGCACATGTACTCTTGAACCCAAAAAGTTAAAATGTAAGTTTCTTTAATTGTTGCCTGAATGACGTCACATCAAAATGGCTGCCCCCTTGAGGGTCTGTCGGAGGCTAAGAGCTGTGACTGACTTTTTTGTTTTAGAAGGAGAAAACATCTGTAACATCAAAAAGAGACTAAAAAGTCTTTACAAGGACCAAGCTCTATATTTTGACAATGTATATAAATGGGTTAGACGTTTGAGCAATTGACCGGAAGAAAAGGAAGAGGTGCCCATGTGCTTGTCTGGCAAGAATAGTCCCGAAGAATTAGCTGGAAACATCATGGCAACCGTGCTTAGGGACATTCATAGAGTGCTTCTCAAAAAAATTTTCACCACGAGGAACAATTGTAAATTCTGAAGCCTACATTGAAACACCGAAACGACTGAAATCGAGAATTCGACGAGTCAGACCATATTTGAAAATGGAAAGTGTTTTTTCCACCATGACAATGCTCGCTTGCAAACGAATACCAAAACAAGGGAGACAATCACCCCGTTTGATGGAAAACACTGCCAAATCCAGCTAATTTTCCTGATTTGGCACCTTCAGATTTCTACCTGTTCAGTCCTCAAAAAGAATCATAGAGAGTTGAACTCTATGGAAACGATGGAGAAATCAAGACTGCTGTACCCCCAAAGACTAACCTGCTCAGCTTTACAAAGCAGGCATATGTGGACTTAGTAAAAGGTGGACAGTGGCTATTGAACAAAATGGAGACTATGTTGAGAAATAGAAATCTGATCCTCAGATGTTCCCCTTCAATTTGAGGTGTGATAGATGCCAGTGCGTTCTTTTTTTGTTTAATTTATAAACGAACGTGCATTACTTTTTGACTCTACCTCGTATTTGGTCGCCTTTAAGGTACACCACGGGAAATATTCAGGGCAAAAAATACGATGTTCGGTAAAATTATTGACTTTTAGCTTAATATCGGATTGGCTACTTCAACGTATTGGGAATAGATCTGAAGTGTTACTTTTACCAAGAACACATTTTTGAAACACGCTGTCAAATCATTTTATTAGCTACCCCCTCTTTCAAATTACATGCAAATTTTAGAAGCAAGTAAAGAAAATTTTTGCTTAGTTGATCCGTTGATTTTCTACCCTGACTGTCAAAACAATCTAGTAGATCTTCTGCTAACGAGTTCAGCGCGGAGGTCAGACTGAACTTTCGTCGAGTCAAGGACACACGCTTCGGTTTATTTATAGCTGCAACGTGTTTCCCATGAGTACAGAAAGCTTTCAATCCCAGGATGCAACATCTGCGTGTTTTGTCACCCGCGCACAACTTACACATCTCCGGGTTTTCGTAAGCTACTGTCACTTGAAAAAGAGGAAGAATAACTGAAATTCTTCTGCTTGAAACAATGTTTTTAACTGATATACTGAGCAGGTAAGAGTATATTTCATTCACTGGTGTTTTGTTGTGAACTTATAGAGCCTAATACGATAGTAAGTC